AAGGATTATTTCGTTGACGGTTTATTGCCTGCATTAGCTTTTTAAAGATGAGTGCAAAATGAACTGGTGATGCTGCATTATGTTAGCCGGGTAATCTAGCATTAGTTTGGGATAATAGCTAACATTACTGTTAGCAGTAGCTTCTAGCCAGCATAGCTAGCTTAATATAAACGTCCATCAAATTCGTGCCACATATATAAGTTCTTCTTTCTTTTGAAGACAGAGTTATTAGCGAAATCACTGGCATGTTGTAGAAAGACAGACGCTGCTTGCTGTGAAGCAGCTGCAGCAAAAACAAGGCTGTCCCACACATACAGCATTTTAGCTCTGTTTACAGTTAAGTCAGAGCCTCCATCCACTTCTTATTCTCACTGTTTGTCATGACAGTGCAGGAAAACTGAAATATAGCTGTTGTACCTCAGTATTGGAGCATTATAGTTCACTACTATAACATTTTGTCATCGCTTCTGCAGTAGTTATATGGAACGGAAGCGAGTTTACCCTGCTAACGCTTAAGCCGGAAGTAATCGCGACTCTTTGTGAAAAGGGTCCATTGTGCTCTCTTGGACTCCCGGCCACGGATGGCTGTAGGATCACCAGGGATCAAACTCACAATCTCCTGATGGCAGAGCCAACGCTTGTTGCGCCACTCGGGAGCCCAATACTACCCTTTTTTAAAAGACCCTTCCCAGTTTCCTTTAGCTCTTGATGTTATTCAAACCTTTTGAAATGCTTCCGGTCATCGCCTGAATCTAAATAAATGTGAGTTGAAGGCAGTTAAAAGTTGTATGAACTGTCTTCTATCTGTAACATTCCAGTTAAAGACACTGTGTCCTCAGAATTGATAATCTCAGAAGTTTTATAACTAAAAACCAAAATGCTATCTTAAGAAAAAGGTAAGAAAATGTTTAATCAGTGGCTGACGAGGGATTTATGACTCAGAGGCGGGATGTTGCTCTCTAAGGCAGAGGGCATTTCTAGGCTTACATATTGCTGCTGTTGGAACAAAAACTTTCTCCATTTTTGTTGCTTTTCAGTTTTTGCCATAATTTGCCAAAATGTTGTCCTTTACATTATGTGTAAATTTCATGATGAATGGACTGAGAAAAACGGCCAGAAATGACATGGAAAAATGTCTGGTTCCATTGACTTACATTAAAAGTAGTGTATGTTTTTCCTTCTCCTGTAAAGTTACCATTCTGGAGATATGAGGTTTTGCTCTGACAACAGTGATATGCAGGCTTTCCTTGGATGTACATAGAACGCTTTGTAAGGAGTTCATTTGTTTTAAAATTGTGTCTGGGAAAATATTTATAGTTATAGTAAAGGGGGGCTGGAGTTTCTTGACTTCAGTACTTTGAATCAGACCTTTAAAATTTACTGGATCAAGAAATACTTAAAAAAGAATTTCTATTAGAATTCCTCACAGAATTACTATTAGTCCCAAACAGTGCACTATTGTCGGGGGTTAGAATGTTGCATAAGAGATCTATTTATCTACCATGTTCAGTAAAACCCTCATTTGATCCAATTAACATACCAATAGGGAAGGTATGTTTCAAAGTTGCAGGTGTTTCAACAAATAATAGGAAGATTTGTGGTTTTTCTACAAAATTCCGCTGTTTCAGTGCCACATGTAATGGATATTTGGAACAAATCTGCCAAAGATATTTGTTGGAAGAAGGTCTGGACGATTCCCAATACGTCTTCACTGATTAATAAAATCAAGGAGGTTTCTTACAAGATTATTCACCAGATTTATCCAATGAAATAAAAACCTTTTTAGTGTCCAGATTTAAAGTGTCCATTGATATAAGAAAGCCCTTTTCACGTTTGGCTTGATCTTGGCCTTTACTTATAGTGAATTTGAACTTGAAAATGTTTTATTTGGGTTTAGAAATTATCTAATTATTTTGTTGGCAAAGCAGTATATGGATAAGTATACGGTGTAAAAGTTTAGACCCCTATTTGTCACTTCACCAAAGGTGTGGAGTCTTATCTGAAAATGATCTCCTTCCTGTAAAAAGAAAGCTGTGAAAACTGGAACCTGTGTTTTATTGATTTTATTGATATTTCTCTATGTTAGTTTACTTGTTTCCCCTGGCTGCAGCTTATTTGTGTAAAGAATCAATAAGAAAAAAAATTGAACTGAAATAGATTTTCTGGGTCAGAGCTACAGAGCAATCTTAGGAGGTCACTCTGCTGCCCTCTGGTGGTGAATTTGCGTTTTACTGAGCAGTGATGGATCTGCCACTGTATGAACAAGATGTGTGAAGGCCTGTACGACAAACGCAACATATGATCTAAAATAGAAATGGAGCCTTAAAACCTGAAGCATAAAATTGAAATTAAATTACTTGATTTTGTCACCTTTCAAAAATGCACTCCGGTGATTTTGCTCTGGAAATATCTACAAATACATTTAAAACAAACGTGGAAAATTATTATAAAAAAAATGAAGAAAAATTGAAAATTTGGAAGCATTTTGCAGAAACCTTTGGTTGCTTTGCTTTATTCTTCAACCCATTTATTTTCAGTTCTTTTTACAGTTCAAAAATTAAAATGATCAAAACCAGAAACTCAGAAAACCTCAAAACTTCAAGGTCCTAAGTGGTTTTAATGAGTTAGTATATTAAACACAGCACTTTAAGTCAGATATATTTTCACATGGTTGAATAAGTTTGATGCTTTTTGGACATTAAGGTATAAGTTGGGATTCTGTAACCCTGCTGGTAAATGTCTTCCACCTGGTGGACAAAACCTGCAAGTGCAACAAACCGTCATGAGGAAATGGTGGGCGTGACCTCATGACGTCACTGTGAAGAAAACGAAAGTAGTGTTTCATAAACGCAGTCCAGTGTGTTGCAGCTGAGCTCGACATCCAGCCTGAAGCTTCTTGTTTTTCCTAAATCAGTCTGCAGTTTGAAGCTTCTCCAGACTTTCTTAGAGGAACTACCACCACTGCAGGTGAGATAAACTCATAGAGGAAGGAGGAGAAAGTAGCCAGAAAGGAGAAACTGGTTTTCCTGAGTTTCCTGTCTGCAGTGTTCTATTTCTTTTGAACTCTTTAAATATTCTGCAACTCTGTTTTCGAAACAGTTGGGATGCTGTACAAAATGTAAATAAACATAGAGTGAGGCAGATGTGCAAATCATTTACACTATGTTTAATTGAAAACAGTACAAAGACAACAAATCACACCTCATGTTAAAACTGAGATCTTTTGTTTTTTGAAAAATATATGCCCATATTGAATTTGATGCCAGCAACACATTTCAACTGAGACAGTATTTCATTAAAAACAGACACGGTTCTGTAGTGGAATTCACTGCATGGGCTCAGGAACACTTCTGAAAACCAATGTCTGTGAACAGTTTTTTGACGCATCCACAAATGCAAGTTAAAACTCTACCATGCAAAGAAGCAACCATACATGAACAGAATCCAGAAACGCCGCCGGCTTCTCTGGGCCTGAGTTCAAGATGGACTAAGGCAAAGTGGAAAAGTGTCCGATGGACAGAGTCATGGGGTAGCAGTATGTAAACTGATTATGAAGTGGGGTTATCTCAGGGCATGGCTTGGGAACACCCACACTTGTTTAAGTTGTGAGGTGTTATATTGTGAGTGAGGTTGAACACTGGCTAGTGTGCTCATGGCAAGGCGACATGAATTATTCAAACAAGGCATGATAGTGGATGCAAGATGGATGGGGAAATTTCATTTCCAAAGTTTTGCAGGCATTTAACATTCCTCGATCCACAGTGTTACATGTGTGCCGGGAGTATGTCTTGGAAGGCATTACCACCAACAGTGGACAGTGCAGTGGCCACCCACAGGTGCTTAATGATCGTAATTGTTGGCATCTGACTAGAATTGTCTGTGCAAACAGACAAGCGACTCTGGCAGAAATCACATCCACATTCAATGCAGGAGGCCCCACATGCATATCCCGCATGTCAGTGCAGTGGTCTTTAGCTTCCATGGAATTTTTGAGCTGAAGTCCTGCTAGAATGTCTCTGTTAACACCATGACACCAGACAAAGCATTTTACTTGGGCTCAAGAGGTTGCTAACTGGACCCCAGAGGACTGGTAACATGTGGCATGGTCTGAAGAGTGGGAGTAGAGAGGTCGATTTGCACCAAAGATCCTGCACCTATGAATACCATGGTGCTATGAGTGGCTATCCAGACGGCAAGCCTCAACATCCCTTCAGACATCTTCTGTCCACTTGTGGAACCGATACCATGGAGTTGCTACACTTTGCCAGGCTCTTATACGATACTAGTTCATGTCTCATGACTTTTGGCATGTCAGTATATACAGGTTTTTGAGCAAGATATGCTGCCATCCAGACAACGTCTTTTTCAGGGAAGGTCTTGCTTATTTCAGCAAGACAGTGTCAAACTACATTCTGCATGTATTACAACAGCATGGCTCTGTAGTAGAAGAGCCCAAGTGCTAAACTGGCTTGCCTGCAGTCCAGACCTGTCACCACTGAAACATTTGGCTCATTATGACATGAAAAATACAACAAAGGAGACCCTGAACTGTTGAGCAACTGAAATCATATATTAAGCAAGAACAGGAAAACATTTTACTTTCAAAACTACAGCAGTGTCTCCTCAGTTCCCAAACACTTACACAGCCCTGTTAAAAGAAGAGGTGATGCAGCACAGTGGTAAACATGTCCCCGTCCCAACTTTTTTGAAATGTGTTGCCGATGTCAAATTCAAAATTGGCATATATTTTTAGAAAACAATACAATTTTGCAGTTTCAACATTTCACAAGTTGTCCTTGCACTATTTTCTGCTACATGTAGGGTTTAAATAATTTGCACATCATTGCATTTTGTTTTTATTTACATTTTGCACAGTGTCCCAACTTTTTTGGAGTTGGACTTTAAAGGTTAAATAGTTTAAATGTAAATTTCTAAACTCTGCTGATTGTTTTAGGCTAACAGACTGAGAGCAGTTAGAGAGTGAATTCAGCACAAAGAGAAGGTTTCATAGCACAGTAAAGTTTTCTATGATCTCGAATGATCATGATGTCTGTCTGTCTCCTCCATTAGTCATGGCTTCCTCCAGCAGTCTCCTGTCTGAAGATCAGCTCCTGTGCTGTATCTGTCTAGATGTGTTCACTGATCCAGTCTCTACTCCATGTGGACACAACTTCTGTAGGGTCTGTCTCAAAGAGTGCTGGGACAGCAGTTCACGCTGCCAGTGTCCAGTTTGTAAGACAAAATTCCGTAAAAGACCTGAACTACGTGTGAACACGTTCATCTCTGGACTGGCTGCTCAGTTCAAGAAGTCAGTTCAGGTGAAATCCAGCAGAGCTCCAGAGAAACGTCCCTTGAAACGTAAGATGGTTCTGTGTGACTACTGCAGTGAGGAGAAGCTGGAGGCTGTAAAGTCCTGTCTGGACTGTGGAGTATCTTACTGTGAGACTCATCTGACGCCTCATAAAACTGCAGCTAAACACAAGAAACACAAACTGATGGACGCTGTGGAGACCCTGGAGGACTACATCTGCCAGAAACATGAGAGACCCCTGGAGCTGTTCTGTAGAGACGACCAGACGAGTGTGTGTCAGTTCTGCACTGAGACAGACCACAAGACTCACAGCACTGTTCCTATAGAGGAGGAGCTTAGACACAGAAGGGTGAGGAATATTTAGACTAACTTACTAACTCCATCTCATTTTTTCTGAAATAAAAAAAATCTTCAAGTTAATGCTTGGCTTGTTTATAATGTGTCTAAGGGGAAGACACAGGCAGAAGTTCAGCAGATGATCCAGGACCGACTGAAGAAGATTGAGGAAATCAAACACTCTGTAAAACTCAGTAAAGTGAGTGTAAACAGTGACCTGCACTGTAGTCACTACTTTCATTCAATTATAATTCACTTTCTAGGTGTAACCCTGTTAAATAATCAGTCATAGGAGTTTTGTTCCTTTAAAATAGTTCATATAAATTTGGTTTAATATTGATAAACTACGTTATATTCTTTATCTTTATTTCTTCTCCCTTCTTTTAATTTGCTTTCAGTTATTAGATCGATAACACGAATACAACTTTGAGACAAGGAAAGATATGGTAATGTTGTGTAATTACTGGTACTTATAGCGGTTAGCTACACTCACTGAACTGCCCGCTAGCCTAGCTCAGACTGGCCGCCAGCCTCGTGTGATAGCTAATATTGGACTCTTTGGTTAGCTCAACCAAACCTTCTCCTGTCCAACCAAGTTAGTTATAGACCTCGCTCAACGCTCGGCCATCACCGGTTAGCGGTTTGGGTGACCTGAAAGCCCAAACTTCCATTGGCACCATGGGAGTCTGCACTGTTGGCCGCCTCAGCCGACTAGCCTAGCCACTCCGAGCCCCCCGAGTGACGCTGCTGCCAGGGAGAGAGATAAGTGAGAGAGAGAGTTTAGCAACACAGTGAGTTAGAACAACTGTTTGACTATCTTATTGGCTCATAAGAGTGAAGGGGCCATTGTGTTTTTTTGCCCTAGCAACGACCCAGGCCTGCAACGTGAACAAGGGGTTAAATGCAGGTTGAGAGTGAGAGTGTGAGAGAGTGCGCGTGCGTGGGCCCACTGCACAGTTTAGGTGTATTAGAATTTAAAGTTGAGGATTGTTTCTAACAACAGTTGAGAACAATAGCTCTGTCTTAAACTTGCCTTACTTTCAAGCTATACATTTGGTTTAAACTCTTTTAAGAGCAGGTTTGTGAATTAGAGATTTCTGAGCCATACAGTTTCTATATGAGTTTACCCTTTTATTTTCTTGAGAGTGTTTATATTGTGTTTTTGGGGTGTATTAAATCCAATACCTATATACATCCTACATGTAAGTATTCTAAGTGCTGTTTATTTCATCAGAGGGGGGGTACTAGCATATTTCCCGTCTACCTAATTTATTGGAGGCACCGCCAAGGTATACTTTTTGCAAACATTAAGCTAGAATCAATCCATAAATAAGCAGTAAAGTCATTCAGAGCTACTAAACCACATTAACAGAACCCAGGGCGCCCTAACGGGACATTTAGCCAAGTTCAGATATTTACCATGACCCGATGTAGGGGCGCTACATAGATTTAAACTGATTTAAATACAAAAAAATGATATGAATTAATGGCCTCCTGTTAGAAAATCACAGAGAAGGAGAAAGCAGACAGTGTGGAGGTCTTCAGAGCTCTGCTGCGCTGCATTGAGAAAAGCCAGGCGGAGCTGCTTGAGGTGATGGAGGAGAAGCAGAAAGCAGCAGAGAGGCAGGCTGAAGAGTTCATTAAAGAGCTGGAGCAGGAAATCACTGAGCTAAAGAGGAGAGACACTGAGCTGGAGCAGCTCTCCCACACTGAGGACCACCTCCACCTCCTACAGGTCAGAGTCCCTCTGTTTCTCAGTAGTAATGCAGTCCATCACAGGACAGCACTCCCCATGCTGAGGGGTTTCTCCTCTCTCCTGCTGGACTGTAGGTTTACCCGTCCCTCTGCAGCCCTCCACACACCAAGAACTGGACTGACGTCAGGATTAACACTCATCTGAAGGTGGAGACTCTGAGGAGAGCTCTGTCTCGGCTTCGGGAATCAATCAGTAAGGAGATGGAGAAGCTTGTGCCAATTGGTGAGTATCTACCGATGAGCCAGATCTTGTGATGAAAATGTTATTTCAAGAATTCCTCAAAAAAGCACTTAATGTCAGTTTAGTTTATCATCATCATCTTCATTAACCGCTTAGTCCAGATAGGGTCACGATAGCAGTTGGGAGAGCAGAGAATCCCAGATGACCCAGTCCCCTGCAACCTTCTCTAGCTCATTCAGGAGGACCCCAAGCCGCTCCCAGGCCAACTTGGAGATATAATACCTCCAGCAGGTCCTAGGACGACCCCTGGTGAACCCCCACCATCCAGGGGCATCCTGATCAGATGCCCTCTGAGCTCATCCCAGATGACTGAGCTCCTCACCCTATCAAGTAGTGTGTAGCCCACCACCCTGCGAAGAAAGCTCATTTCCACCGCTTGTATTTGCGATCCCATTCAGGGTCATCTGGGATTCTCTGCTCTCCCAACTGCTACCGTGAACCTATCTAAACTAAGCGGTTAATGATGATGATGATGATGATGATGATGATGAATTTGTAGCAAACATTTAATCATCAGTTTAAATAATGATACCTGATGATGTTCATGGTTCTGTTCCAAACAGAACTCAAATCAATTCAACAATATGCAGGTATGTGGACTCTCATTGATCACATAAATAATGTGTTTCTTTGTTATTATATGCTGTGAACTATTGAAAATGAGTGTAAAAGTGTGTTTTCTCTCTCAGTGGATGTGACTCTGGATCCTGATACAGCAAATTCCATCCTTATTCTGTCTGATGATGGGAAACAAGTGGTAAATGGAGACACAGAGCAGAATCTCCCTGACAACCCAGAGAGGTTTGATGAGTGTCCCTGTGCCCTGGCAAAGGAGGAGTTCTCCTCAGGGAGGTTTTACTATGAGGTCCAGGTCAGTGGGAAGACTGAGTGGGATTTAGGAGTGACCACAGAGTCCAGTAACAGGAAGGGAGATATAACACTGAGTCCTGAGGATGGATACTGGACTGTGTGTCTAAGCAATGAGACTGAATATGAGGCTGTGGAATCTACCCCTGTTTCTCTCTCCTTGAAACAGGCTCCCCAGAAGGTGGGGGTGTTTGTGGATTATGAGGAGGGTCTGGTCTCCTTCTATGATGTTGAGGTCGGGTCTCTTATCTACTCTTTCACTGGTCAGTCTTTCACTGAGAAACTCTATCCATATTTCAGCCCTGGTGACAATGATGAAGGTGAAAACTCAGCACCGCTGATCATCACACCTGTTGAACATGATAACTGAGGCTTTTTTCTACAATAAGAACACTTCAAACCATAATAAAAACGTTTCCTAAAATACAATTTTAACGTACGTTGTGCTGTACATGAATGTATGAGCAGAAAAGACTGCACACAGTGAAATACTTGTATCAATTTTTTTTTTTAGATTTATCTATAGATCAGAAATTAGGAACATCTACTGGTAGGGTTGAACTGCTAAATTAAAGGACTAGCTTTGTAAAGAATCAAATTTATTTGATTTTCTGTTTTCCCACAAATGCAGCCGATCAGCCAAGAAATATTTGGTGTCCAAGTGTTGCTTCTTTAGTTTACTACAGGTAGGTCCTAACTATTTTGAAATGTGTTGTAGCAATCAAGTTTGAAATATGTATATATTTACAAAAAATAACGTTCATAAGGTAAAACATCAAACATTGTGTTTGTGTTTTTGTACTATTTTCAGCTTAATACAGGTGCAGTAGACGTTACTCACCACTGCTCTCTGTTTTTATTAGTATTTCACACGCTGTCCCAACTTTTTTGGAACTGGGTTTGTATGAGATTTCCTGAGCAAGACCCTTCAAACTGTAAATACTCATAAACCAATTTTAATAGGATGCAGAAAAATATGTTTACTTTCATTCCAAACATTTTGAAGATTGTTCAACAAATCTCAATGGCCAGGGACGCATGGGAGGCATGGCCATGCGGAGCACAGAGCACCAAGGAGAAGTGGAAGTGGTGAGAGACTTAAAAACATTTAAATAGTTGTGACTGTGGGGACATTATATGTGTGTATATGTGATGTTTATGATGTTCTGACTGTGCTGTGCTGTGACGCTCATTGAGAGGGTTTACTGGTCACCATGGACTGGATATGTGTGGCTGGAGATGACTTACCCTGCTTCATGGCTGTTCATTAGCACTGAGCGGCAGGTTTCCCGTAATGAAAGGTCATTCCTTTGAAACAGTATGTTCAAAATATTAATATTAACAAGGTAAAACGGGGGAGATGACCGATCCTGTCTGAGAAATACAAGAACAAGCAACATGGCGAAGATGGGAGGCGAGGGCGGTCAAGGCACCGCGACGAGGCTCGACAGTGGAGTCTGGCTGGGGGACAGTTGCCGGCCATGAGAACCTGCTGGTGAGGATGCCTGGATGGTGGTCTGTGGAAGGAGGCCTGGTGGTCTGGCAGGGCCGGGGGCCGGATCTGGCGCAAGAAGGCCCAATGGTGGGGCTGGGACACAAGGAGTGATGTCACAAGCCAAAAATGTTACTTTTGGGTTTGAAAATATTGGTGGGAATTTTCTTGAAGATAATGGTGGCAAATCAGAACAGAGATTACATAATTGGGAGGGGCAAGGAGGAGCCAGGTGTTAACCCCCCCTTGCCCAGAAAGAGTATAAGAAGTGTGAGTTTTTGCGAGCTGGTCAGTTGCTACCTGGGCCAACTCAGATTAATGCTTGTCTGCTGGAGAGCCTTAATCTTAATAAAAGAAATTGTGCATTTCCTGCCAATTCTGGTGCTTTGAGTTTTAGTTTGAGTTACTACAAGTGCTTACTTTTTGCTACGACAGGGGATGGCAGAGATCATGTCTGCAGTGTCTGTCTGAGATTTTTAAAATGCAGCGTTGGAAAAATAAACCCTCATAGGTCAAAGCACTTTTTTTCAACACAAATGTCATGTATTTATGCTAGTAATGGACTATGCTGCCTGTCACTACATAACATAACAGAAACTGATGGTTAAAACAGAACTTAAAAGATCTCTGGGGTTTTAAATTTAGGACAGTATTTAGGAAATTTTGTCTGTTTTGGATGCTTCTGTAATACTGTTTTCTTATCTGGAGTTAATGGATAAGATTATGAACTTAAAAACTGTTGTTCTGTAATAGCTACTGTCCTAAATTCAGTCCTAACTGAAGTTGTTATGGTGACTAAACATGACTAAACTAAACATAACTGGACCCTGGAGGACTAGCAACATGTGGCATGGTCTGATAAGTCACAGTACCAATTGTTTTAGGCTTATGATAGGGTTTGTGTGTGGTGCAAAGCCCATGAAGCCATGGACTCCAGTTGTCAACAAGGCACTGTGCATGCTGGTAGTGGTTTCATACTGGTGTAGGGTGTGCTCTCATGGTACGGTTTGGGTCCACTGGTCCGTCTGAACACGTCCTTGACCGTTTCACTATTGATGGTTGACTGGTGATCATTTGCAGCCCTTCATGGACTTCATGTACCTCCACAATGATGGGATATTCCTGCAGGATAATGCACCATGCCATTGGGCCCAAGTACTTGAAAGTTACTTTAAAATGTATTACATTGACTCAGAAACAGTTAGGTAGTAGGCAGTTCATGGTTTCAATGGGAAATCATTTATCAAAAAGATTTGGCATTTCTTGTGGAGTCCTTCAAGGTTCAGTTTTAGGGTCTTTGCTTTTCTTTTTGTACATGCTACCTCTAGGTGATTTCATTGGGAAACATAGTATAAATTTTCATAGCTATGCTGACGACACCCAGTTATACATTTATATTCCTTCTGATGATCAAGACTCTGTAGACAGACTGACCAGCTGTGTGTCAAATATTTTTCAGTGGATGCCGCAAAATTTTCTACAATTAAATCACTGATTGCTTTGTACAAAAACTCAGAGAAGCTGCTTTATTGGAAACTTGGTTCTTTAAGCTCTGTTTTATTCCACATGTAAACACAGTGGCTAAAATAGCTTTCTATCATTTGAGAAATGTCACTAAAGTTCGGCCTTTTCTATCTCAGAGCGACACAGAGAAACTTGTTCATGCATTTGTTACAGCAGAGTTGATCACTGTAATGAACTTCTTACTGGACGTCCTAAGAAAACAATACATCCTTTACAAATCATACAAAATGTGGCAGCATCCTAACAAAAACAACACAGATCAGATCAGTCCTGTTTTAAAAGAGCTGCACTGCCTGTCTGTATCACTCAGGATAGATTTTAAAGCTCTGCTACTAGTTTTAAAAGCTCTAAATAACCTTAAAGCACCGCTTACATCACAGAGCATCTGTCTGTTTATGATCTTAGATCTGCAGATTCTGACCTTCTACAAACACCCTCTGTAAAATACAGAAAACAGAGAGACTCGTTCAGTTATTCTGCTTCTAAACTGTGGAGCTCAGTTCACCTTTTATTAGACAGTCAAGCTCAGAGCTCACTTTTAAGAAGCATCTAAAAATGAATCTCTTTAACTCAGCGTTTAATTAAAACTCTGTCTTGTTGTATTTATTTTTTTAATTTGATCTGTTGTATTATTGTTTAACTTTATCATCTGTCTGTAAAGCACTTTGAGCTGCCACCGGCATGAAAAGTGCTATATAAAGTATTTATTATTATTATTATTATTATTATTATTATGTGAGAAAGACATCAGTCTGGTAGCTTTGTTATACAGTCACACACCTTGTAGGAGCCAGATTTGAGTTTAAATTTATTTTCCTTGAGAGATGTTAATTTTGATTTAGATTTAATGGCTTTTCACTTGAAACTCTTATTTTGACACACCACCAGTTAAGATGGCGTCTTCCTTAGGCACAGGCACAGCCTCATAGCTTAGACATGGAAGACGTTGGGAACAAACAGTTTTTCACCGCTTATGCTTATTGTTTAAAGCTTACTGCTTAACCTCTTCATTTGTCATTTTGAAAACTTTGTACATTTGGAATCTGCACTTTAGAAGCCCACCTTTTTGGTTATTTTGAACTTTTAAGCAATTTGATAAAACCACTGCCTGCCTGCCCGCCCGCCCGCCCCGCCCGCCCGCCCGCTCCTTTGTTTGCCTGCCTGCTTGCTCACCTCTCTCCCACCACCGTTGAACACAGGTATGACTCACAGCCAAACACAGTGTGTATAACAAGAAAGCGTGTAACAACTGAAACAGCGTCTGAACTGGATTTAAATTTTGGTCGATACACACCTGTACTGGTGCTAGCATGTAATTCCTGCACTTTTTAAGGCAGAACAGAAATTTGAATAAGAAGCCACCACAGACTCGAGAGATTAGTGTATCAAATTCAGCATGACGGTGTGAATCTGGTGCTCTACAGAGTTCAGTACTGTTTCTGCATTACTGATGTAGCAGCTTTCATATGTGAATCATGTGAAGATGGACAGCAGCAACAAGAACTGCAAAAAAAAGGAGGCACTGAGAAGATAAGAATGAAAAAGGTACCTAAGGAGGATGAGGACATATCCGAGCAGGTGGGCAGTGAGAAGCATTGACCTTAACTTACTTAGCATTAGTTTGTAGCATGTTGTCATTATTGTCACATTTAAGACAAAAGCTTTCTTTAGTTTTCATTTGAGCACTAGTTAACGACCTTGGCTATCGCAGTGTATGAATTATACATAAAGAGTAAGAAATGAAGAAGATGTGAATGTGTAGATTTCAGACAAGGTCTGTGTGTGTTGAAGGAGAAATGGAGTTAGGGCTGGGCTGCTCTGCATCATGTAACTCCCAGTCTGAAAACAAGTCCCACTCCGGCCCTGTTAGATAACCCATGATTTTCTAAAACAAGCACATGAGCTCTTTAGATTAGAATTCAGATCAGCAAGAGCTTATTATTGATTTGTTTAATCAGAGTGATGATAGAACATGACTGATGTGGGAATTATATGCCTACTCATGTCTTCTCTGTATTTTTAATATTTCATATTAATGTTAAAACCTTATTCTCTGTCCATGCTGCTCTTATGTTATTCTATGGCGACCAGAGGAGGATGGGTTCCCCTTTTAAGTCTTGGTTCCTCTCAGTGTTTCTTCCTCTTGCTCTTAGGGAGTTTGTCTGTGCCACTGTCGCCACTGGTGACACTCATGGGGACTTGAACCCAGCTTGTTCTGTAAAGCTGCTTTGTGACAACACCTGTTGTAAAAAGCGCTATATAAATAAACTCTGACTTGACTTTTCTTGTTCTAAAAGACAGTTTGTGAAACAACCTGAATAAAAAAAAAATCTCTAAATTTTTGGCTTTGTTAGATTTGTTAAATCATAAATGTTCGGCTTTGGGACCCAGCTTGAAAAAATGAAACTGACTGAAATTTGATTTACGTACAAACGATGATGCCTGGTTGAATGATTGAAGCTGATGTAATTGATTTTAAATGATATTTAGTAACATTTCCAACTTAACCAAATTCTCATTAACATGACACAGTAAGGTTTGTTGTGTAAGACAAGTCTATAATGAATATATATTATTCCTGTTTTGATTTTAGTAAGTTTTTTAAAGCTTATACCTAAAATGTGCATGTTTTTGACAACATTTAAATAAGAGATTCAACAGTTAAAAGTAAAGTAAACTTTTTTCCCAATTGCAAGAAAGTAAAAAAAAAAGAAAAAAAGGTGTACAGTACAAGAATACAAGGTGACAAGGCTGGATGACGTGCAAGTTGCTTTTATTTAAATCAAATTTAACAGAGTCCAGAGGTTCATAGAACAAACAAGTCCATGATGAAACAAAACAGAAGAAAAAAAGAACTAGACTAGAAACGAAACCTACCAACAAGATCAGTGACAACAGCAACAGGGTAACAGACAATGCAAGACAAATGGGACTGAGCAAACACGGGTATAAATACACTGAGGGGAAATAAGACACCTGGGACTAATGAGAGGGCGGGGCTACAGACTACTAGACTGGGACAGATGACAAGGGGGTAGGACCAGGGAGGAGACACAGACCAAAACAACAACAAAAGCACATGGCACAGAGAAACAACAAAACAAAGACTGAAACAGAAAAAGACGAGGACAGAGCAAGAAAGGACGTTACACAAGTATCAGTAATGAGAAACAGCTTTACAGTAATGAGAATTAGGGTTGAAATTAAAATTACACAGAAAAACAAAGAATTTAACTTCTTGCTGCGCCATATTTACAACTCCAACCAGTATATGAATGTTGTTTGTCTATGTGATTATTGTGGCACTCAATTTTTTTAATAGACAAAGTTTGAGCCAAATGGCAGTAGTTCTATTCCCCACTCCAGAACAACAAATAGTGCAAATAATAAACAGAAAAATCTTAGTCTATGTTCAGACTGCCAGCCCAAATCCAATTTTTGACATACCAGATTGTATCCAGATTGATTTTTGATAGTCTGCACAGCACAAAACAAATGAAGTCCAATTTTTTGCAAATCGAATCCAAACTAGGGCTGGGCGATATTGCAAAAAAGTAAAATCTCAATTATTTTCAAATTTATTAACGATTCTCGATTCCGATTTCTTTGGTTCTTGTATAATGCCATTGAAAAAAGGCACAATTTCTTTTTTGCATTTTAATTTAAACGACTGCAGAAGTGCAAATACAGTAACAGCACCACCTATAATTATTAAATTGTGCAAATAGTGGTTACTTTTAAATATTCTTTCAAATGACTCAAACTGTGCAAGCACAACAAAATTTGTAACAGAAAAAAACAATGATTAAAACATAAAAGAACCGTCTTAATTAGTGATATTCTTTTAAGAAAAGCAAGCAGCTTCCTTAAAACTCACAAGTAACTCTTGCTTTAAATAGCGTGCGAGCGTGACCTCCTTACATTAAGAAAAGTGCAAAAACATGGTTCCTTACAGGTTTCTTGAAAGGAACACAAGCCTATCTACTGTTTCAGGCTGGAGAGATGCCCGCTGACAGGTAAACTTGCCCATTTTCATCACGTTGTTTCACTCACTGCTCCCGTTCCACTGGGTGTTTGAGTCGTAAGTTCTGGAACAGGTTCGTCGTACTGCTACATTTGGTTGCAACTGTCTTTTGACACAACTTACACTTTACATGAATTTCCACACCACTGAACTGATGTTTCCACCTGTCTTTGGTACAAGCTCAATCCTCTGCGAAGCGCCGCCGGCCTCCGTCTTGGAGTGTTTGTGTTTTTTTTCTACCATGCTCAGCTGAGGTCAGCACACAGACCTGTGAGAGGCGCCAGTCGCAAGGCTGGTTCCCTAACCTCCAGCCGATGACCGCCCCACCATTTCATTAATCGTGAAAATCGTCCAGCACTAATCCAAACCACGTTTGGAGGTGATTTGAAATGAGGATCCAATCAGATTTTTACAGATGTGTCTCAGTCTGGCCGCTCTGGACGCTCAAATTGGATTTCGAAGTGTGTTTTGCGTCACTCGTAACGCAACAAACAACGATGATGTCAAATCCAGAGAGACGGAACTGCTGGGATTTAAGAAGAGTGCCAAAGATTCATGCTTATGCCAGAAAATTTGGAGTTTGGAAGGGGAGATGATGCTCCTCCATCTCTCCTAAAATCTGCTGACTACGTAGTTACCAGCAAAACTACGTAGCTACTGATGTCTACGTTGTTACCATGGCAACCCATGCAGATAGGCTGGCGATATCTGGACACACAAATCTGATCGGATCACTTGCAAATAACGACACGGAAAATCATATAAAACGTACGGAGCCCCGCTGGTGAAATCCCGTATAAATAAAAATAACACGTGGCCACGGGATATTTACATGTGGGAATAAGATCCTAAAGCAAATCCATGACTTATTAAGGCGTTGGAACAAGATCAGGCCTTAGTAACCCTTAGAAAACAAAATTTAAAAATCGCTAAAATTCTTGGGATTTATTTATTTTTTTTGTATTTTGGGTCAGTTACACTTACAGTTGCGATTATAAAGTATTTACATGAGACAGTCACACGTGTCATATGTTGTTATTTTCAGGAGACCCTGGGCTACTCAGATATGCCATTGTTTGACATGTAAATGCTGACAGAAATTTGATATCTTTATGAATTTGGGTCATTTCTGATCAAAAATTGACCTAGCACCTGCTAAATTTTGGATTTTTTTTTAATTAAAGAGATCTTAAAAACAAGTGCAGTTGTAGATATCTTTTCAGAAATTGTTAGTCTGGAGTGTCTGTGAGCTGAAAGTGCAATAATTTTAATGCTGATTCATTCTGTTGGTTATTATGAGTATAAATAGCAATTAGCATAATTAGCGTAAGGCAGAATCAATATAAACTGAAAGTGGTAAATATTACTCATTTTTCATCATAATCATATTTGTCACATTTATTGTTATTTATCTGTCAAAATGTGTTTTAGGGCCTGTTTGTGTGATTTTGAGGGAAAGAGGGAAAGTGCGAATGGGACAAGGCCATTTTATCACTTTTTTTCGCCATTTCATCGCCTTTTTCCGGCACAGCTAATCAAGCTAAGTGTGACTGCATTTCAGTCATTTTATGCGTATTTAGCTGTGAATTCTGATTATGAGCACTTAAAGGCAGAGTCTGAGTCAATCAGAGGACTGTTTGAGACACGATGGAAACTTTTATACCGAACACGTTGCTCTGGTTTTTAAATGGAGATTTAAACTGGGCATTTAAAATGGAAGTAAACAGGATCTGATCGGTGGTTCTCTGAACTGGATTACTGACTGGATCATGGCTGAAATCCCCACAGAGTCACTCTGGACACACAGGGTATCTCCTGTTTTTAAGCTGTGGTCAAACCTTAATTATCTTGTTCCCACACCTTACTTAGTCATGGGAATGCATTAGGATCTCATTCCCACACATTAATATGGCCACACATTATTTTCATTTATGCAGGATGTCATCAGTGGGGCTCCATACAAAGACCTGATTTAAGAAACAAATCCGATTTGCCTGCAGTCTGACCACAGCTACAATACCCAGGCTGAAGGAATCAAAACCAGAGTGAACAGTTAGAAACCAAACAAGAGCAATGGCTCAGAACTCAGGTGGGACATCATAGAGTGTGTGGTCCAAATAGTCCAAAGTACATGTTACTGAAGATCATCACACAATAAAGCTGCAAAGCTTACAATATATCCTTGAAGTGAACACAAGAAGACTGGCTCTACAGTAGAAGACAACATACACTGAAACAATTATCTCTTATTTACATACTGATTAACTGTGTTCAGATTAACCCTAAGAAACTTAAAGTTTCGGGGACTTATTGGGGTATTTTTTGGATTGATTACAATTACAATTGGACTTATAAAGTATTTACATGAGACAGTCACACATGCCATATGTTGTTATTTTCAGGAGACCCTGGGCTACTCAGATATGCCATTGTTTGACATGTAAATTTGATATCTTTATGAATTTGGGTCATTTCTGACCAAAAAGTTACCTAGCGCCTGCAAAATTTTGTGTTTTGTTTAATTAAAGAGATCTTGAAAACAAGTGAAGTAGTAGTTATCGTTTCAGAAATAGTCAGTCTGGAGTGTCTGTGAGCTAAAAGTAGTGCAATAATTTTAATGCTGATTCATTCTGTTGGTTATTATGAGTAAAAATAAACAATTAGCATAAGGCGGACATGTTTTTTTATTGATATTCTGTCCTCTTGGATTCATGCTGAGTGCTAAAACTCTGATACACAGCAAGACAGGCTTTATTTTTAATTACTAATTGAGTTGCATATTTAATATCATATATATTTAATACTCAAATTCAATGCAGACTGAAAGCCCTTTGTTTATAATATGAAGGCCAAAAGCAGAGATGTAGTATAACAGCAGCGAGTGGGGTTTGGATGATTTTGGAGCTGGACTGCTGGCTAATTGATGGTCACAGGTGAATGAAATCACTCTGGATGGTGAGGCAGAGTCTGATGAGTGATCTGATGTGTGAATCGTGTTGTTGTTTTAACCCTTTGTTGGAATATGAAGGGCAAACAGCAGAGCAATAAAATCAGCATTTTCCAAGCCAAATTACTCACTGATGCTGATGTCACAGCTCAATGACACACTTGCTAGTTAGGGGCGGGTCTGTTGACTGTCCTGATATGTGGATCAAGTTTGTATCTTAAACTGTTCTGAAGTTATGAAGGCCAGAAGTGACGCAAATTAAGGGTTAAACGTGTATAATATCTGAGAACACGGTCCAATTATGTGTCACTTTGGTTTAGCATTCATTTGGTAACACAGTCCAAAATATCAGAGATCAATAGTGTTTTTGTCATAATAAAAAGGTTCTGTTAGAGAAAAATGTTAGTCATGTTCAACAGGCGTGATGATTAGTGGTATCAAGTTGTTACCTCCATCATTGTTACAGGGGCAAAAGTATGGATAGAGTTTCCCAGTGAAAGACTGACGAGTGAAAGAGTAGATATGAGACCCGGCCTCAACATCATAGAAGGAGACCAGACCCTCCTCATAATCCACAAACACCCCCACCTTCTGGAGAGCCTGTTTCATGGAGTGGGTGGCAGAGAGAGTTTCATATTCATTTCTCTGCCACACAGTCCAGTATCCATTCCCAGGCCTAGGTATAATATCTCCCTTCCTGTTAATGGACTCTCTGGCCACTCCTAATTCCCACCCAGTCTTCCCGCTGACCTGAACCTCATAGTAAAATCTCCCTGAGGAGAACCCCTCCTTTCCTAGAACACAGAGACACTGATCAAACCTCTCTGGGTTTTCAGGGAGATTCTGTTCTGTGTCTCCACATGTGACTTCTTTCCCATCATCAGACAGAACGAGAGCAGGATGAGCTGAATCAGGATCCAGAGTCACATCAACTGAGAGAGAAACACACCATTTTAACCCATTATAACAGAAGGTAATGGTGAAGAAACACACAGTAACGTGATCAGTAAAAGCCCACAAACCTGCATATTGCTGAATCCTCTTGAATTCTGTTTGGGAAACAATAACAGACAATATTATTTGTTATTATTTTACACCGATCAGGCATAACATTCTGACCACCTCCTTGTTTCTACGCTCACTGTCCATTTTATCAGCTCCACTTACTATATAGGTGCACTTTGTAGTTCTACAGTTACAGACTGTAGTCCATCTGTTTCTCTGATACTTTGTTAGCCCCCTTTTACCCTGTTCTTCAGTGGTCAGGACCCCCATGGACCCTCACAGAGCAGGTACTATTTGGGTGGTGGATCATTCTCAGCACTGCAGTAACACTGACGTGGTGGTGGTGTGTTAGTGTATGTTGTGCTGGTATGAGTGGATCAGACACAGCAGTGCTGCTGGAGTTTCTAAACACTGTGTCCACTCACTGTCCACTCTATTAGACACTCCTACCTTGTCAGTCCACCTTGTAGATGTAAAGTCAGAGACGATAGCTCATCTGCTGCTGCACAGTCTGTGTTGGTCATCCTCTAGTCCTTCATCAGTGGTCACAGGACGCTGCCCACAGGACGCTGTTGGCTGGATATTTTTGGTTGGTGGACTATTCTCAGTCCAGCAGTGACACTGAGGTGTTTAAAAACTCCAGCAGCACTGCTGTGTCTGATCCACTCAGACCAGCGCAACACACACTAACACACCACCACCACGTCAGTGTTACTGCAGTGCTGAGAATGATCCACCATCCAAATAGTACCTGCTCTGTGAGGGTCCATGGGGGTCCTGACCACTGAAGAACAGGGTAAAAGGGGGCTAACGACGTATGCAGAGAAACAGATGGACTACAGTCTGTAACTGTAGAACTACAAAGTGCTAGTGACTTCACATAGATGGGACCTTTTAACAGTAATCTAGAGAATATTCTAGAAAGAAATATCAGTAAAACTTTACTAGACAGCATCGTTCCTGAGGCTACTGTTGTGGAGGATGGGGTCAGCAAATAATCCAGCAGTTTAAGAATAACATTCCTCAATGCATTGTAGAGTATCACTATAAAAACCATCACAATGAAACATAAATGTGTTACACAATACTACTACGCTACTGGCTCGTGCCGCTGTGGGAGCGTGGAAGGCGTGGCCATGCAGAGCGGCCATGCACTCAGTAGGGGCCGTGCTCCTTGTAAGGAGCGCCTCAAATGTTTATAATGTTACTGTTGCTGGGTTCATGCTCTATGTATGTGTTATTGGTGTCATTCTGTGCTGGGCTGTGGGGTAGTTAGTGTGGGTTTGACCATCATAAACGGTGAATGCATGGCTAGAAATGACCTGCCTGCTATCCCGGGTGTTCAGGAGCACTGAACAAGGGTTCTTCCTTGCTTGTTCAAAAAAAGAGCATTTGCCTTTAGAGCGCAATGTTTTGTGCGTCTTCTTCGCTGACACCACAATATTAAATAATAAGGCTTATGACATCCAGAGATCTATTACCTTAGAAAGGTTTTTAGAAAGATAGTAAAAAATAAATAAATTAAAGTGTTAAGGATATAAGACAATCAAATAAAAAAAATAAAATAAGGGATTAAAAGAAATGAAAAAAAGTGCCCAGATAAAGCGCAGTGCTAAACAAAGGCAAAGAAAACTTAAAGGAGCATATCTGACCTCATCTGGAAGTTTGTTTCAGCAGTTGGCAGCATAATGATTGAATGCTGCCTCACCCTGTTTGGTTCTGATTCTGGGTACCGCTAACTGACCGGTCAGAAGTGACTGGAGAGGCCTATTGGGTTTGAATACTTCAAGCAGATCAGCAAATACTGTGGTTCAAGGCCATTCAGAGAGTTACATACGGTAGCAACTGGATTTTGAATAAGCTGTAGCTGCCTAACTGTGGTCTTGGGAAGGCCAGTAGAAAGACCATTGCAGTAATCAAGCCTGCTGGACACAACCTAACATTACACAACCTAATGTCAGCAAAAATGACCTAGGTATGTCATCCTCACAGCAAATTTACTAATGCAGCCTTAATGACAGCTGAATTAGCTAGATATTTATTAGATTTAGCAGTCATGAAAGGCTTATGTAAGTGTGACATAGCCCTATGAACACTATCCTCCAGTAAAGTTTTACCAAAATACCAGTTCTTGTTTTAGGCTCTAACTTTCTGACATTACATTTCCTTTTCTTAGAAGAATGTAAGTGCTTACTGATCTCAGGAAGCTTCTCCATCTCCTTACTGAGCTCTTCCTGAAGCTGAGACAGAGCTCTCCTCAGAGTCTCCACCCTCAGATGAGTGTTAATCCTGACGTCAGTCCAGTTCTTGGTGTGTGGACGGCTGCAGAGGGACGGGTAAACCTACAGTCCAGCAGGAGAGAGGAGAAACCCCTCAGCATGGGGAGTGCTGTCCTGTGATGGACTGCATTACTATTGACAAACAAAGGGACTCTGACCTGTAGGAGGTGGAGGTGGTCCTCAGTGTGGGAGAGCTGCTCCAGCTCAGTGTCTCTCCTCTTTAGCTCAGTGATTTCCTGCTCCAGCTCTTTAATGAACTCTTCAGCCTGCCTCTCTGCTGCTTTCTGCTTCTCCTCCATCACCTCAAGCAGCTCCGCCTGGCTTCTCTCAATGCAGCGCAGCAGAGCTCTGAAGACCTCCTCACTGTCTGCTTTCTCCTCCTCTGTGATTATCTAACAGGAGATCATTCATTTACACTAACTTGTTGTGTTTTAATCAGTTGAAATGTAGAAAGTGTATAATACTTGAATGAAAGTAGTGACTACAGTTCAGGTCATCATGTAGACTCACTTTATTGAGTTTTACAGAGTGTTTGATTTCCTCAATCTTCTTCAGTCGGTCCTGGATCATCTGCTGAACTTCTACCTGGGTCTTCACCAGCTGAGTCTGTGACATTTAGACACATTATAACAAAGCCAATCATTAATTTAGAGAAATAAGATGGATTAATCTCTAAATGCTCCTCACCTTCTTCTCTCCACTCTCCTCCTCTACAGGAACAGTGCTGTGAGTCTTGTGGTCTCCTTCAGTGCAGAACTGACACACACTCGTCTGGTCGTCTCTACAGAACAGCTCCAGGGGTCTCTCATGTTTCTGGCAGATGTAGTCCTCCAGGTTCTCCACAGGGTCCATCAGCTTGTGCTTCTTGTGTTTAGCTGTAGTTTTATGAGGCCTCAGATGAGTCTCACAGTAAGATACTCCACAGTCCAGACAGGACTTTACAGCCTCCAGCTTCTCCTCACTGCAGTAGTCACACAGAACCTTTGTAGCTTTGGAGGGACGTTTCTCTGGAGCTCTGCTGGATTTCACCTGAACTGACTTCTTGAACTGAGCAGCCAGTCCAGCAATGAAGGTGTTCACACGTAGTTCAGGCCTTCTGGAGAATTCCTCTTTACAAACTGGACACTGGCAGCGTGAACTGCTGTCCCAGCACTCTTCGAGACAGACCATGCAGAAGTTGTGTCCACATGGAGTCGTGACTGGATCAGTGAACACATCCAGACAGATGGAGCACTGGAGCTGATCTTCAGACAGGAGACTGCTGGAGGAAGCCATGACTGATGAAGACGGAGAGATATCATTAAGATGACTGACATCAGATAGAATGTTCCACACTTTTCATAAACTGATCACACTATGTTTTATTTATTAGCTGAGCGACTTTGAAAAAGGCAGATTCATCCTCATTCACCTGACTAAGCTGCTTCACACTGCATCTGTTTAATGTGCTCTAAAACCTGCTGTGATCTCTAACTGCTGGTAAGACTGTAACTAAAAAGAACTACTTAGTACTTGAAACGATAGATAAATCTTACAAGAGCTGGTTTATAAAAGTAGAAGAAGCTATAAATGTGCTAAACAGCAAAAAAATAGTCTCATAACGAAACAATAAAAAACATACACGACAGGTTCACCTCTCTGGCCCATTTTTCCCCACTTGCTTTAGTTTTACCTGCAGTGTAAGTTCCTTTAAAAACGTCTGGAGAAGCTTCACACTGAGATTCTGTTTCTGAAACAGCCTTTACCTTGACTTTCGTTTCTCCACCGTGGCATCATGAGGCCACGCCCATCATATCATACTAATTTTGTTGCACTTGCATGTTTTGGCCACCAGGTGGGAGAAATGTACCATTACCACAGAGTCCTAATGTCCACCTTTTCCCAACATATCCAGAACAGAGAACAACATACACTCACTTAATAAGGTACTCCAGCCTTGTATCTATTCTCACTGTCCATTTTATCAGCTCCACTGACCACATAGGAGCACTTTGTAGTTCTACAGTTACAGACTGCAGTCCATCTGTTTCTCTGCATACTTTGTTACCCTGTTCTTCAGTGGTCAGGACCCCCACAGAGCAGGTATTATCATGTGTTGGTGTATGTTGTGGAGGTGCGAGTGGATCAGACACAGCAGTGCTGCTGGAGTTTTTAAACACTGTGTCCACTCACTGTCCACTCTATTAGACACTCCCACCTTGTTAGTCCATCTTGTAGATGTAAGGTCAGAGCTGATAAAATGGACAGTGAGCGTAGAAACAAGGAGGAGGTTTTTAGTTTTTCACTAGTTCTAGTAGTTACAGGTTACTATTGCTTCTAGAAGACCAGAGGCTGGAAAATGGTTGTGATGCTTGAATAATAATTGACAATAGTTTTGTCTGTTCTAATGATAAGAAAAGGAATAAGAGGCAGGTTACATGAACACAATACACAGGAAATAAAGTCAGTGATTAATCCATATGTTTATTTATTCACTCTTAAACGTCAGAGTGCAAACATTTCATTACATAATAAGCAGAGTTATGAATTACCTGGAGTTTGGGAGGAGGACCACGCCTGAAGTTCCTCTACTTTGCAGTCAAACTTCCTATACAATTCCTTCTCCTGAGATAGACTTTTTGCACCCTCCCTTTTATACACTACGCTGAAGATAGTTCCTCGAGGTTTCCTAAACAGATGATTCTTTAGTAAAGGCAATCATTCTATATAGAAGCATGAACTCTCAAAGACCCATTTGCATGCTTAATTGGTTCTCTGCATGGTGAAATGGTCTGCAGATCGATGGAGAATGTGTTGTATATGGTTCTATATAGCACCATAAAGAGTTCTGCTCTTGTTACAATGTCAGGCTTGTAACAAGAGAGGAAAGTTTTGTTGCTATATAGAAACCTTTCAAAAAGGTACTATACAGACTTATAAATCTAGACTTCCATAAATCTGAAGAACTATTTATCAATGCCAAGAACTTTTTAACCATGCAAATGGGTCGTTGAGTGTTTATGGTTCTATATATAATCATTGTCTTTACTAAAGAACCCTTGAAGAACCGTCTTTTTAAAGTGTGTGCATTAATAAAAAAATGTTGATTTAAGTTTTAAGAGGGAAAATTGAGCCTAATAAGTTTTTGAAAACTTATTGAGCCTAGAGTTTGTGAAATGCCTGTAGATGAGTTAGACCAATCAGAGGCAATCAAACCACCATGTGTTGTGACATTACAACCACAACTTAGTGGTAGTTTGGCACACTACGTTCAAGGGTCAAGCCTCAAGCCAGAAAAGGTGGATATCCTGGTCTTCTCAGCCAAAATAAATGAGGCCTCAATCTCAGTTTATATTAGTTGGAAAAATTGCAATGAGATATTTCCCCAAATCATTCAGCCCTACTACTTTTTCTCAGTTCATATCTTGGTCATTTCTTTGTTTATTGAAGAGTAGAGAGGCCTTGCAAATTAAAGAAAAGGCTGCACTCCAAGTTCTCAAAGTCCCCCCCTCCCTACAGTCATACAGGCCCTTCTCATACTAGGGCCAGATGAAGTTGAGATCCAATCTGTTTTATAAGATTATGAGAAGAACCTCATTTATCATGTCCAACAGGCACGATGATCAGCGGTGCTGAGTTTTTACCTCCATTAAGGGTGCAGGGACTGAACACTGGATAGATCTTCTCAGTGAAAGACTGACCCGTGAAAGAGTAGACGTGAGACCTGGCCTCAACATCATAGAAGGAGACCAGACCCTCCTCATAATCCACAAACACCCCCACCTTCTGGGGAGCCTGATTCAAGGAGAGGAGAACTAGGGGAGTGTCCAGAGCTTTATATCGAGTTTTGTTTCTCAGCCACACAGTCCAGTATCCATTCAAAGGACTCAGTGTAATCTCCCCCTTCCTGTTCCTGGACTCTGCAGTCACTCCTAAATCCCACTTAGTCTTCCCGCTGACCTGGACCTCATAGTAAAATCTCCCTGAGGAGAACCCCTCCTTTCCCAGAACACAGACACAACGATCAAACCTCTCTGGTTTGTCAGATAAATTCTGTTGTTTGTCTCCATCAGGTAGGTCCTAACTATTTTGAAATGTGTTGTAGCAATCAAGTTTGAAATAAGTATATATTTACAAAAAATAATGTTCATAAGGTAAAACATCAAACATTGTGTTTGTGTTTTTGTACTATTTTCAGCTTAATACAGGTGCAGTAGACGTTACTCACCACTGCTCTCTGTTTTTATTAGTATTTCACACGCTGTCCCAACTTTTTTGGAACTGGGTTTGTATGAGATTTCCTGAGCAAGACCCTTCAAACTGTAAATACTCATAAACCAATTTTAATAGGATGCAGAAAAATATAGTTTACTTTCATTCCAAACATTTTGAAGATTGTTCAACAAATCTCAATGGCCAGGGACGCATGGGAGGCATGGCCATGCGGAGCACAGAGCACCAAGGAGAAGTGGAAGTGGTGAGAGACTTAAAAACATTTAAATAGTTGTGACTGTGGGGACATTATATGTGTGTATATGTGATGTTTATGATGTTCTGACTGTGCTGTGACACTGATTGAGAGGGTTTACTGGTCACCATGGACTGGATATGTGTGGCTGGAGGTGACTTACCCTGCTTCACGGCTGTTCATTAGCACTGAGCGGCAGGTTTCCCGTAATGAAAGGTCATTCCTTTGAAACAGTATGTTCAAAATATTAATATTAACAAGGTAAAACGGGGGAGATGACCGATCCTGTCTGAGAAGTACAAGAACAAGTAGCATGGTGAAGATGGGAGGCGAGGGCGGTCAAGGCACCGCGACGAGGCTCGACAGTGGAGTCTGGCTGGGGGACAGTTGCCGGCCATGAGAACCTGCTGGTGAGGATGCCTGGATGGTGGTCTGTGGAAGGAGGCCTGGTGGTCTGGCAGGGCCGGGGGCCGGATCTGGCGCAAGAAGGCCCAATGGTAGGGCTGGGAAACAAGGAGTGATGTCACGAGCCAAAAATGTTACTTTTGGGTTTGAAAATATTGGTGGGAATTTTCTTGAAGATAATGGTGGCAAATCAGAAAAGAGATTACATAATTGGGAGGGGCAAGGAGGAGCCAGGTGTTAACCCCCCCTTGCCCAGAAAGAGTATAAGAAGTGTGAGTTTTTGCGAGCTGGTCAGTTGCTACCTGGGCCAACTCAGATTAATGCTTGTCTGCTGGAGAGCCTTAATCTTAATAAAAGAAATTGTGCCTTTCCTGCCAATCCTGGTGCTTTGAGTTTTATTTTGAGTTACTACAAGTGCTTACTTTTTGCTACGACAGGGGATGGCAGAGATCATGTCTGCAGTGTCTGTCTGAGATTTTTAAAATGCAGCGTTGGAAAAATAAACCCTCAGAGGTCAAAGCACTTTTTTTCAACACAAATGTCATGTATTTATGCTAGTAATGGACTATGCTGCCTGTCACTACATAAAATAACAGAAACTGATGGTTAAAACAGAACTTAAAAGATCTCTGGGGTTTTAAATTTAGGACAGTATTTAGGAAATTTTGTCTGTTTTGGATGCTTCTGTAATACTGTTTTCTCACCTGGAGTTAATGGATAAGATTATGAACTTAAAAACTGTTGTTCTGTAATAGCTACTGTCCTAAATTCAGTCCTAACTGAAGTTGTTATGGTGACTAAACATGACTAAACTAAACATAACTGGACCCTGGAGGACTAGCAACATGTGGCGTGG